CTGACAGGTACTAACTAACCATAACCCTGGCTAACAGACTTGTCTCCCCAGACTGACTGCTCCTGACAGGTACTAACCATAACCATAACCCTGGCTAACAGACTGTCCTCCCCAGACTGGACTGCTCTGACAGGTACTAACCTAACCATAACCCTGGCTAACAGACTGTCTCCCCACTGACTGCTCTGACAGTACTAACCATAAGACCATAACCCTGGCTAACAAACTGTCTCCCCAGACTGACTGCTCTGACAGGTACTAACCATAACCCTGGCTAACCAGACTGTCTCCCCAGACTAGACTGCTCTGACAGGTACTAACATAACCCTGCTAACAGACTGTCTCCCCAACTGACTGCTCTGACAGGTACTAACTATAACCATAACCCTGGGCTAACAGACTGGCCTCCCCAGACTGACTGCTCTGACAGGTACTAACCATAACCATAAACCCTGGCTAACAGACGTCTCCCCAGACTGACTGCTCTGACAGGTACTAACCATAACCCTGGCTAACAGACTGTCTCCCCAGACTGACTGCTCTGACAGGTACTAACCATAACCATAACCCTGGCTAACAGACTGTCTCCCCAGACTGACTGCTCTGACAGGTACTAACCATAACCCTGGCTAACAGACTGTCTCCCCAGACTGACTGCTCTGACAGGTACTAACATAACCATAACCCTGGCTAACAGACTGTCTCCCCAGACTGACTGCTCTGACAGGTACTAACCATAACCATAACCCTGGCTAACAGACTGTCTCCCCAGACTGACTGCTCTGACAGGTACTAACCATAACCCTGGCTAACAGACTGTCTCCCCAGACTGACTGCTCTGACAGGTACTAACCATAACCCTGGCTAACAGACTGTCTCCCCAGACTGACTGCTCTGACAGGTACTAACCATAACCATAACCCTGGCTAACAGACTGTCTCCCCAGACTGACTGCTCTGACAGGTACTAACCATAACCATAACCCTGGCTAACAGACTGTCTCCCCAGACTGACTGCTCTGACAGGTACTAACCATAACCCTGGCTAACAGACTGTCTCCCCAGACTGACTGCTCTGACAGGTACTAACCATAACCCTGGCCTTAACAGGACTGTCTCCCCAGAACTGACTGCTCTGAAGGGTACTAACCATAACCATTAACCATGGCTAAACACGACTGTCTACCCGGACTGACGCTCTTGACAGGTACTAACAACCATGGCTACAGACTGTTCCCCAGACTGATGCTCTGACAGGTATAACCATTAACCCTGAGCTAACAGGGACTGTCTCCCCAGACTGACTGCTCTGACAGGATATAACCATAACCATAACCCTGGCTAACAGACTGTCTCCCCGACTGACTGCTCTGGAACAGGACAACTACCTGGCTAACAGACTGTCTCACCGACGGACTGCTCTGACAGGTACTAACCTAACCCTGGCTAACGACTCTGTCTCCCCAGACTGACTGCGTGACAGTACTAACCATAACCCTTAACCCTGGCTAACAGACTGTCTCCCCAGACTGACTTGCTCTGACAGGTAATAACCATAACCTAACCCTGGCTAACAGACTGTCTCCCCAGACTGGACTGCTCTGACAGGTACTAACCATAAACCCTGGCTAACAGGACTGTCTCCCCAGACTGACTGCTCTGGACAGGTACTAACCAAACCATAACCCTGGCTAACAGACTGTCTCCCCAGACTGACTGCTCTGACAGGTACTAACCATAACCCTGGCTAACAGACTGTCTCCCAGACTGACTGCTCTGAAGGTACTTAACCATAACCCTGGCTAACAGACTGTCTCCCCAGACTGAACTGCTCTGACAGGTACTAACCATAACCCTGGCTAAACAGACTGTCTCCCCAGCCTGACTGCTCTGACAGGTACTAACCATAACCATAACCCTGGCTAACAGACTGTCTCCCCAAGACTGACTGCTCTGACAGGTACTAACCATAACCATAACCCTGGCTAACAGACTGTCTCCCCAGACTGACTGCTCTGACAGGTACTAACCATAACCATAACCCTGGCTAACAGACTGTCTCCCCAGACTGACTGCTCTGACAGGTACTACACCATACCATAACCTGGCTAAACCAGACTGTCTCCCCAGACTGACTGCTCTGACAGGTACTAACCATAACCCTGGCTAACAGACTGTCTCCCCAGACTGACTGCTCTGACAGGTACTAACCATAACCATAACCCTGGCTAACAGACTGTCTCCCCAGACTGACTGCTCTGACAGGTACTAACCATAACCATAACCCTGGCTAACAGACTGTCTCCCCAGACTGACTGCTCTGACAGGTACTAACCATAACCATAACCCTGGCTAACAGACTGTCTCCCCAGACTGACTGCTCTGACAGGTACTAACCATAACCACCTGGGCTAACAGACTGTCTCCCCAGACTGACTGCTCTGACAGGTACTAAAACCATAACCCTGGCTAACAGACTGTCTCCCCAGACTGACTGCTCTGACAGGTACTAACCATAACCCTGGCTAACAGACTGTCTCCCCAGACTGACTGCTCTGACAGGTACTAACCATAACCCTGGCTAACAGACTGTCTCCCCAGACTGACTGCTCTGACAGGTACTAACCATAACCATAACCTGGCTAACAGACTGTCTCCCCAGACTGACTGCTCTGACAGGTACTAACCATAACCATAACCCTGGCTAACAGACTGTCTCCCCAGACTGACTGCTCTGACAGGTACTAACCATAACCATAACCCTGGCTAACAGACTGTTCTCCCCAGACTGACTGCTCTGACAGGTACTAACCATAACCATAACCCTGGCTAACAGACTGTCTCCCCAGACTGACTGCTCTGACAGGTACTAACCATAACCCTGGCTAACAGACTGTCTCCCCAGACTGACTGCTCTGACAGGTACTAACCATAACCCTGGCTAACAGACTGTCTCCCCAGACTGACTGCTCTGACAGGTACTAACCATAACCCTGGCTAACAGACTGTCTCCCCAGACTGACTGCTCTGACAGGTACTAACCATAACCCTGGCTAACAGACTGTCTCCCCAGACTGACTGCTCTGACAGGTACTAACCATAACCATAACCCTGGCTAACAGACTGTCTCCCCAGACTGACTGCTCTGACAGGTATACCATAACCATAACCCTGGCTAACAGACTGTCTCCCCAGACTGACTGCTCTGACAGGTACTAACCATAACCAACCTGGCTAACAGACTGTCTCCCCAGACTGACTGCTCTGACAGGTACTAACCATAACCCTGGCTAACAGACTGTCTCCCCAGACTGACTGCTCTGACAGGTACTAACCATAACCATAACCCTGGCTAACAGACTGTCTCCCCAGACTGACTGCTCTGACAGGTACTAACCATAACCCTGGCTAACAGACTGTCTCCCCAGACTGACTGCTCTGACAGGTACTAACCATAACCATAACCCTGGCTAACAGACTGTCTCCCCAGACTGACTGCTCTGACAGGTACTAACCATAACCCTGGCTAACAGACTGTCTCCCCAGACTGACTGCTCTGACAGGTACTAACCATAACCCTGGCTAACAGACTGTCTCCCCAGACTGACTGCTCTGACAGGTACTAACCATAACCATAACCCTGGCTAACAGACTGTCTCCCCAGACTGACTGCTCTGACAGGTACTAACCATAACCCTGGCTAACAGACTGTCTCCCCAGACTGACTGCTCTGACAGGTACTAACCATAACCCTGGCTAACAGACTGTCTCCCCAGACTGACTGCTCTGACAGGTACTAACCATAACCATAACCCTGGCTAACAGACTGTCTCCCCAGACTGACTGCTCTGACAGGTACTAACCCTAACCATAACCCTGGCTAACAGACTGTCTCCCCAGACTGACTGCTCTGACAGGTACTAACCATAACCATAACCCTGGCTAACAGACTGTCTCCCCAGACTGACTGCTCTGACAGGTACTAACCATAACCATAACCCTGGCTAACAGACTGTCTCCCCAGACTGACTGCTCTGACAGGTACTAACCATAACCATAACCCTGGCTAACAGACTGTCTCCCCAGACTGACTGCTCTGACAGGTACTAACCATAACCCTGGCTAACAGACTGTCTCCCCAGACTGACTGCTCTGACAGGTACTAACCATAACCCTGGCTAACAGACTGTCTCCCCAGACTGACTGCTCTGACGGGTACTAACCATAACCCTGGCTAACAGACTGTCTCCCCAGACTGACTGCTCTGACAGGTACTAACCATAACCCTGGCTAACAGACTGTCTCCCCAGACTGACTGCTCTGACAGGTACTAACCATAACCCTGGCTAACAGACTGTCTCCCCAGACTGACTGCTCTGACAGGTACTAACCATAACCATAACCCTGGCTAACAGACTGTCTCCCCAGACTGACTGCTCTGACAGGTACTAACCATAACCATAACCCTGGCTAACAGACTGTCTCCCCAGACTGACTGCTCTGACAGGTACTAACCATAACCATAACCCTGGCTAACAGACTGTCTCCCCAGACTGACTGCTCTGACAGGTACTAACCATAACCCTGGCTAACAGACTGTCTCCCCAGACTGACTGCTCTGACAGGTACTAACCATAACCATAACCCTGGCTAACAGACTGTCTCCCCAGACTGACTGCTCTGACAGGTACTAACCATAACCCTGGCTAACAGACTGTCTCCCCAGACTGACTGCTCTGACAGGTACTAACCATAACCCTGGCTAACAGACTCTGTCTCCCCAGACTGACTGCTCTGACAGGTACTAACCATAACCCTGGCTAACAGACTGTCTCCCCAGACTGACTGCTCTGGGATTGCATACTGCTGGAGAGAACCATTTTTGAACCCCTTCCGTGTTGTTCTTCTGGGGTGCTTTGTGACCGTGAAGCATCATCTATAGAATATTGCTTTCAACTCTGGTTGTGAAACTCTATAGTTTATTATGAAGGTTGTCTGAAGATGTTTCGTCGGTCTGTCTGTTCCACAGAACACTACGCCGTGAGTGAGCTGGTGAAAGCCTCCAGAGACGGACATGATATAGACGGAGAGGTGCTGACCTATCTGGAACTGGCTCAGGTAGGTTTACTAGAACAGGATATAGACGGAGAGGTGCTGACCTATCTGGAACTGGCTCAGGTAGGTTTACTAGAACAGGATATAGACGGAGAGGTGCTGACCTATCTGGAACTGGCTCAGGTAGGTTTACTAGAACAGGATATAGACGGAGAGGTGCTGACCTATCTGGAACTGGCTCAGGTAGGTTTACTAGAACAGGATATAGACGGAGAGGTGCTGACCTATCTGGAACTGGCTCAGGTAGGTTTACTAGAACAGGATATAGACGGAGAGGTGCTGACCTATCTGGAACTGGCTCAGGTAGGTTTACTAGAACAGGATATAGACGGAGAGGTGCTGACCTATCTGGAACTGGCTCAGGTAGGTTTACTAGAACAGGATATAGACGGAGAGGTGCTGACCTATCTGGAACTGGCTCAGGTAGGTTTACTAGAACAGGATATAGACGGAGAGGCGCTGACCTATCTGGAACTGGCTCAGGTAGGTTTACTAGAACGGGATATAGACGGAGAGGCGCTGACCTATCTGGAACTGGCTCAGGTAGGTTTACTAGAACGGGATATAGACGGAGAGGCGCTGACCTATCTGGAACTGGCTCAGGTAGGTTTACTAGAACGGGATATAGACGGAGAGGCGCTGACCTATCTGGAACTGGCTCAGGTAGGTTTACTAGAACGGGATATAGACGGAGAGGCACTGACCTATCTGGAACTGGCTCAGGTAGGTTTACTAGAACGGGATATAGACGGAGAGGCGCTGACCTATCTGGAACTGGCTCAGGTAGGTTTACTAGAACGGGATATAGACGGAGAGGCGCTGACCTATCTGGAACTGGCTCAGGTAGGTTTACTAGAACGGGATATAGACGGAGAGGCGCTGACCTATCTGGAACTGGCTCAGGTAGGTTTACTAGAACGGGATATAGACGGAGAGGCGCTGACCTATCTGGAACTGGCTCAGGTAGGTTTACTAGAACAGGATATAGACGGAGAGGCGCTGACCTATCTGGAACTGGCTCAGGTAGGTTTACTAGAACAGGATATAGACGGAGAGGTGCTGACCTATCTGGAACTGGCTCAGGTAGGTTTACTAGAACAGGATATAGACGGAGAGGTGCTGACCTATCTGGAACTGGCTCAGGTAGGTTTACTAGAACAGGATATAGACGGAGAGGTGCTGACCTATCTGGAACTGGCTCAGGTAGGTTTACTAGAACAGGATATAGACGGAGACGGAAAACTTAACTGATATCTTGTCACACATTGGAAATATACTGTAGGGGATTGTTCTATAGTTTAAATATAGGAGGATTGTTCTACAGTTTACATTTGGGGTGATTTATTTTACAGTTTACATTTGGGGTGATTTATTTTACAGTTTACATTTGGGGTGATTTATTTTACAGTTGAAATGTATTTTCTTTGGTTTGTTTTTCTTCCAGTTCCATAATGCTAACCAGTTAGCAGCTTGGTGCTTACATCACATCTGCACCCACTACAACAATGTCTGTGCCAACTACCGCAAAGAGATCAAGGACAAATCTGCAGGTGAGTTATTCTTCCGCTGGTTCTGATCAGCACACAACCAACCATCACAACCAATGAAAGGGGAACACACTCAGACCTGTCAGAGCAACAACTGAACAATAATGGTTTTGAACTTGATCTTCTATTCATCTGTTTTCTGTCAGATAGTAAGACATCATTCAGACTGTCTGCTGGTTTTATTTCCTTTCAATTTGTGATCAATTAAGACCTATAAGTTCCTAACTAATCAGTGACCTTAATGGATCAATCAAGTACAAGGGAAGAGTGAAAACCTGCAGCTGCTTGTGTTCTGTACTAACCAGTCTGTGGTAGCTACATGCTACGCTACATGTTGTCTGGTGGTAGCTACATGCTACGCTACATGTTGTCTGGTGGTAGCTACATGCTACGCTACATGTTGTCTGGTGGTAGCTACACGCTACGCTACATGTTGTCTGATGGTCTGTCGGTGTTGTTTCGCTCCCAGAGAACCAGGAGTATTTTGAGAAGCACCGCTGGCCCCCGGTGTGGTACCTGAAGGAGGATGACCACTACCAGCGGGTGAGGAAGGAGAGGGAGAAGGAGGACGTGGTTCTCAACAAACACCACAGCAGACGACGTTGGTGCTTCTGGAGCACCTCTCCTGCCGTGGCCTGAGAGGAGGTCTGGGGAGGGTCTGCCCAGCCCCAAACCGCCCAGGGAATCTGCCTCCTGCCCCGTGCTCCAGCTTCTACCCCTGCACCCTGCACCTCCCCTGCCGTGGCCTGAGAGGAGGTCTGGGGAGGGTCTGCCCAGCCCCAAACCACCCAGGGAATCTGCCTCCTGCCCCGTGCTCCAGCTTCTACCCCTGCACCCTGCAAAGAGGTCCCAACGACACACACTGTTCCCATGTTTTACTGTTGGTTATTTTGTGTCTTAATGCTCAGATCTATCTAACGATGCACTGTCATGTCCTAACCTCTTCTCTTGACGATGCACTGTCCTGTCCTGCCCTCTCTGCTTGGGTCCACATGAATAACCTCCACACGGCAGGCCTGTCCTGCCCTCTCTGCTTGGGTCCACATGAATAACCTCCACACGGCAGGCCTGTCCTGCCCTCTCTGCTTGGGTCCACATGAATAACCTCCACACGGCAGGCCTGTCCTGCCCCCTCTGCTTGGGTCCACATGAATAACCTCCACACGGCAGGGCTCTACAAAACGCCCATTTTACTCCCATATGCGCCTAGATATTTTGCTGTGCGACCTGGAATTTGTATTTAGGAGCACCAGTGCACCTAGAAAATGGAAGGATTGTAGCTACGTTGTTCAACCTGTCGACGTAGTGTGGTATGTGCTTGCTGTTAGACATGTAACACTATGGATGTAAATTGTGATTGATTGTTGACATTAGCTGCAGTCACTGACACCAGCCCTGGATCTAAGTCTGAATCATTAATGATGCAATAATAACTCTTAACCTGATGAAACATATGGCCTGTTCATACATAGACAGGGCTTCAGGCAGCCTTGGAATAACAACAATAATAATAATATTAAGTAATATGCCATTTAGCAGACGCTTTTATCCAAAGCGACTTACAGTCATGCGTGCATACATTTTTACGTATGGGTGGTCCCGGGATCGAACCCACTACCCTGGCGTTACAAGCGCCGTGCTCTACCAGCTGAGCTACAGAGGACCACATCATCCCTATGAGGAAGAAACGTTGAAAGTACGTCTTGTGCTCACCGATACAGCTCCAGGGATAAACAGCTTGTCTGTACTGACTGACTGACTGACTGACTGACTGCAGATATTATGTTTCTACAACCTGTTGTTGTCCTTTCCTGTAGCACAGTATTAACCTCCGCATCGTGGTCCAAACAGATCTGTAATTCTAACTAGACCTCCGCATCGTGGTCCAAACAGATCTGTAATTCTAACTAGACCTCCGCATCGTGGTCCAAACAGATCTGTAATTCTAACTAGACCTCCGCATCGTGGTCCAAACAGATCTGTAATTCTAACTAGACCTCCGCATCGTGGTCCAAACAGATCTGTAATTCTAACTAGACCTCCGCATCGTGGTCCAAACAGATCTGTAATTCTAGCTAGACCTCCGCATCGTGGTCCAAACAGATCTGTAATTCTAACTAGACCTCCGCATCGTGGTCCAAACAGATCTGTAATTCTAACTAGACCTCCGCATCGTGGTCCAAACAGATCTGTAATTCTAACTAGACCTCCGCATCGTGGTCCAAACAGATCTGTAATTCTAACTAGACCTCCGCATCGTGGTCCAAACAGATCTGTAATTCTAACTAGACCTCCGCATCGTGGTCCAAACAGATCTGTAATTCTAGCTAGACCTCCGCATCGTGGTCCAAACAGATCTGTAATTCTAACTAGACCTCCGCATCGTGGTCCAAACAGATCTGTAATTCTAACTAGACCTCCGCATCGTGGTCCAAACAGATCTGTAATTCTAACTAGACCTCCGCACTGTGGTCCAAACAGATCTGTAATTCTAACTAGACCTCCGCATCGTGGTCCAAACAGATCTGTAATTCTAACTAGACCTCCGCATCGTGGTCCAAAACAGATCTGTAATTCTAACTAGACCTCCGCATCGTGGTCCAAACAGATCTGTAATTCTAACTAGACCTCCGCATCGTGGTCCAAACAGATCTGTAATTCTAACTAGACCTCCGCATCGTGGTCCAAACAGATCTGTAATTCTAACTAGACCTCCGCATCGTGGTCCAAACAGATCTGTAATTCTAACTAGACCTCCGCATCGTGGTCCAAACAGATCTGTAATTCTAACTAGACCTCCGCATCGTGGTCCAAACAGATCTGTAATTCTAACTAGACCTCCGCATCGTGGTCCAAACAGATCTGTAATTCTAACTAGACCTCCGCATCGTGGTCCAAACAGATCTGTAATTCTAGCTAGACCTCCGCATCGTGGTCCAAACAGATCTGTAATTCTAACTAGACCTCCGCATCGTGGTCCAAACAGATCTGTAATTCTAACTAGACCTCCGCATCGTGGTCCAAACAGATCTGTAATTCTAACTAGACCTCCGCATCGTGGTCCAAACAGATCTGTAATTCTAGCTAGACCTCCGCATCGTGGTCCAAACAGATCTGTAATTCTAACTAGACCTCCGCATCGTGGTCCAAACAGATCTGTAATTCTAACTAGAAGGGCTTCAGCAGTATGGAGTAAATCAGGGTTTATGGACCTCGAATCAATAACAAAACAACGTCTCATCATCACTTGTTGCATTATAGAACTAGAGCCATTGTCGTGCTAGTGATTACAAACAGATTGTAACTTTTTTATTTAACACTCACAAGATTGTCACGGACCTGAAACTATGTAGTGCTGTATTCTACTGGGAATATGTGTACTATGGGAGAGAGAGGGGGAGGGAGGGGAGGGAGAGGGAGGGAGAGAGGGGGAGGGAGGGGAGGGAGATAATGTAATTTTAGCGCTGAGCATCCACGATCCGGATTGAATGGATCCCCAGGTCGGTATATTTAACCCAGCTGGAAGTGTTTCTCTGTATTCCTAAACACCTGATTGTTCCTGTTAACCCACCTGGTGATGGTAAAGGGGGAACTCTATACTTGAAATCACTGTTTTTATTCAGTAGGCTTTCTTCAGTTAACCAAAGCCATAGCTAACTACAGTAGGCTTTCTTCAGTTAACCAAAGCCATAACTAACTACAGTAGGCTATCTTCAGTTAACCAAAGCCATAGCTAACTACAGTAGGCTATCTTCAGTTAACCAAAGCCATAGCTAACTACAGTAGGCTTTCTTCAGTTAACCAAAGCCATAACTAACTACAGTAGGCTATCTTCAGTTAACCAAAGCCATAGCTAACTACAGTAGGCTATCTTCAGTTAACCAAAGCCATAGCTAACTACAGTAGGCTTTCTTCAGTTAACCAAAGCCATAGCTAACTAGTCACTTTATCACATTGAATAGATATATACCATGTGATTATTTATTTGTTGGTGATATTTGCTATAGGAACCAAGTGGCTGGTTCTCTTGGTTCCTGCTGTCAAAGGTCTTTGATCTAGCTGGTTCTCTTGGTTCCTGCTGTCAAAGGTCTTTGATCAAGCTGGTTCTCTTGGTTCCTGCTGTCAAATGTATTTGATCTAGCTGGTTCTCTTGGTTCCTGCTGTCAAAGGTCTTTGATCAAGCTGGTTCTCTTGGTTCCTGCTGTCAAAGGTCTTTGATCTAGCTGGTTCTCTTGGTTCCTGCTGTCAAAGGTCTTTGATCAAGCTGCTCATCATCCTTCATCTTCTTTATTTATTTTTTAAAGGGAATGTTGTTTCATAAATTCTTGATTTGACGTCATTGCTTTATTCTAGTTTTCCTTTGAACTGACCTGTGTATTTCCTAGGGTCTGGAATGTTGGTCTAAAGTTAATGCAGACAATATGTCATGTTTCAATCCTCAGACTGAGACAGACAATATGTCATGTTTCAGTCCTCAGACGGAGACAGACAATATGTCATGTTTCAATCCTCAGACTGAGACAGACAATATGTCATGTTTCAATCCTCAGACGGAGACAGACAATATGTCATGTTTCAATCCTCAGACGGAGACAGACAATATGTCATGTTTCAGTCCTCAGACTGAGACTAGCCTGAGTGCCAGTGTGTTCCTGCTACTATGTTTGGTGTCAGTTCCATAAGAAGTTGGCAAGAGAGCAGAAATGTTTGTTTCACATACCTATTATTAATAATGCTATTTTAATCAAATTCAGATGTAATGTTTGTTTGTTTCACATACCTGTTAATAATGCTATTGTAATCATGGGTTTATGCTTTTGAGTGGAGCACCATCAGCTGAACCTGTCGTGTAGAGTTATTAAACTGATCAGAGTTCAGTACAACCCTGTCATATAGAAGGATCTGTTGCTGTTATGAAAGGCCTGGCAACAACCACTCAGAGAGAGGCTGTCAGGAGAGGAGAAGAACAGCCTGTACCCAGGCCTGGCAACAACCACTCAGAGAGGCTGTCAGGAGAGGAGAAGAACAGCCTGTACCCAGCTGTCACTCAGAGCGGTCCAGCGGAGCCAGACCAACACTGTCCACAACAGCCCTTCTATTATTATTATTATATTGCCTGGTGATTCTATAACCAATGTCAACACGAGTGCATTATAATCAACTTACAATAAAAGGAAGTTGTAGTTCTAGTATACGTCTGTAGGAGTGTGTTCATTGGCTTCCTGTCTTAATGTCCCAACCTAGTATAACAGCTGCTATTCATGTTAATATTATAGAACCTTGTTAACCTTTTTAGAAGGTCTGCATTCCAGAACCTTGTTAACATTCTAGAGCTTGGATGGCATTATTGAATGTTGTCCGTATTCTGGAACGCCGTTGGCCATGTTGATCTCTGCTTTGAACGTCCCACAGTCATCCTGTCTTGTTTGTGAGAGAAGAGGAAAATCCTGTTACATAAGAGGAGTGGTGCAGGAGCAGAGCAGGGTGCACTGCCACTGACCGTATATGTGATGCTGGATTTGTGTGTCAACTGAAGATTGCATTAAGTCCCAGGCTTGGCAGGGTGAGAGGAGTTACGGCGGGACGCTGCCGGGATAAACCACATGAAGAGAAGAGCGGTAATCACAGTCTGAGCTGCT